ACTTTCCGTCCCCACTGTATATATATATATATATATATATATATATATATGAATCAATTATTATAAAAACTTAAAAACTTGAAAAGAAAACATATTATTAATATATAATATTGATTATATATTAATATCATGTAATTGTTAAATTAATTATGTATTATTATGATTTGTCAATTAGATGTATATTATTTTATTGTTTAATAAAACTATGTAAATATAAATATATTTATGAAAATATAAAATACACTTATTTTATATAATTTATATTAATTAAAATAATTAATAATTATACACTGCCGTTCAAAAGTTTGGCGAAAGAGTGGGAACCCTGATCACAGGAATAAATTAGATTTTAATGTATATTAAAATAGAAAAACGTTTCGTAATAATATTTCACAATATTAAATTTTTTCCTGTATTTTTGATCAAATAAATGCAGCCTTGATGAGCAGAAGAAACTCCTTTACAAAACATTTAAAATCGTTCTGATCCCAAACTTTTGAACGGTAGTGTATATAATTAATTATATAATTGTAGTTAACTAACAAATCTCTTGGAACAATTGTTATTTTAACAAAAAATTAATTATCCTTATTATTCTTAGTAATAATAATAATAAATGTATCATTGCAATTATTAATTATCAATTATATATTATTGATTTTTAGCATATTATATGTATATATATTACCAAGTTGAATAAAAATATTATTATTATTATTACTATATGATTTCTATTATATATAATTTTGCGTTATGGACCACACTGATATTACTGTATGCACTAAATTTTCCAAAATATTTGCTGTGAGAGAGTCACCCCTTGCTGGCATGAGAGCGACACAGCAAGAGACTGAATGATTAGTTAAACAATCAGATGACCGTATTGGACTGGATATCAGTGTAATGTTTGGGGTGAGGTTTTTATACTATATGTGCTGCTCTCTACCCCTCCCAGTTTACAAACTGATAGGAACACCTTTCCCAAGAAAGGATTAAGGTACATCTATTTGATCTAAAATCAACTAGTACTGCATTGCAATGTAAGATGGTTCTGACCCACGTATGTTATGCTTTCTTCCGCAGTCGCTATGGCAGCGGCCAATCAGAGGGAGAAGTGAGGGAACGCCGTCATTCCCACACGATCACGAGCATGACGGATTCGGAGAGCCCACCACAGCTGCCCTCGCCGACACACGTGACGCAGCCCTTCCTGGGAAAAACACCGCCGACCAACGTGGGTGAGTGAAGTCAAACACTTCTCAGGTGTGAGATTTTACAGCAGATGCACATAACTGAGATCAGCCATCTTCAATAATGAAATGACTAGTGGTCGATCGATATGGGTTTTTTGACAGCCGATGACGATATCTTGGAAAGCAGGGTGGCCTATGGCCGATATAATTTTATTTATTTTAATTAATATTTAAGAAATTTGAAATAATTTGAAAATGGATTAAAAATAATTGTGTAAAATAAACATACTTATACTTTAGAAGACAAAGCATTTTTCACAAATAAATATTTAATAAAAATCTAATTGAATAGGAAGTAAACACTGTAACCAACAGGGCACTCAGTATTCTGGGAAGTTTGTGTGCATTGGGAATCATATAGGCCTATATATATTTTTTTTTTTTCAAATAAAGCCAAGGTAACACTCATTTTACATACAGCACACAATGAAAATGACATGAATATGACAGTGGGCAAATGCATAAAGCGCAGCATAATTTGAAATCACGAGTTTAGTTTGTCGATCGCGCGTCTCCAGTCAAGCAGAACTCTCCTCCTGTCCTCATTCAATTTGCACAGACCGACCGTCACGCAAAGAACACGCGATCATGCAGGATACAAATGCACACTTCACAAGATCTCAACTAGATTCGACAAAGTCTGCAAGGTTTGTGAAATTAAATGTTCATTAGTCATTCAAAGATTTGTTTAAATGATATTAATGTGTATTTGCTGAATGCTGACGGCAAACAAGAAAGTATTATAATGTTTGCCTTTCTATTACTAATAATATTAAAGCAATCGTTATAATACTTTTTTGTATACATTTTAATTCATTTGTTTAACAGTTCTATCTGATTATTAGATAGAACTGAACGACGACAGTGAACAAGAGGGAGAATGTGAGCACTGTGTGTTAAGGCGCTGCAATCTCAGCGCCGTCAAAATAAAAGTCCTGCCTCAAACACATCGGCCAAACAGAAAAACTTATCGGCCAATGCCGATATTTGAAAAAAGCCAAATATCGGCCAATATATCGGCATTGGCGATATATCGGTCGACCACTAGAAATGACGCTCTCTCTCTCTCTGCAGTGGCACCAATCCCGAGTTCAGGCTCCGGTTCCCAGATCACACGCTCCAACAGCATCCCGGCGAATGACATGGGCTACGAGCTGTACGGCACATCTCCTCTGGGCAGCTCTCTGTCTCTGGCCGACCGACCAAAGAGCATGATGAGATCCGGATCCTTCAGAGAGCCGAGTGAAGACGGTGAGCCATGGAGAATGTTCAGGAACCTGCTCTAACCTAGCCTACTCTTTGATTTGATGCAACATGCTTAAATGCTTTATTTTGCTAGTGTTCAAATGCAGATAACAACTCAGACTAACCTTAATGTGTTATCTGTTGCTTTTCATGGAGAGTAGAGAGTTTTAATATAACTATAACTTTTCTGTCTTTTAGTGTTTTCTGGTTCAAGAATTTGATGTAGTTTGATCTCATTTTTACTGATAGCTCAATAGCAGTATTGTTTTAGTATTACTTGTATACTTTTATAGTATTTATTCATATTTGAATTAGCTTTTATTTTTAGAATTTAGATTATTTTTTTTGTTGCAGTTCTAGTTTAGTTTAATATTTTTCATACTTAAACTACGGCTACAATTTATTTTAAGGTGTCCTTGTTGCAGTGTAGTTCTACATTTAAGTACTGAGTAATAGTAATTAACTATCATCTTAAATGTTTCTATTTAACATAATTTTTTTCCAGTTCATTTTAGTAGTTCAAATTAAAGTTAGTTAGTTGCCAAAGAATTATTTAGTTGTTTTTTAGGTTTTTCATTGGATATTTGTATTTCATTTCAGCTTTAATTTCAATTGGTGAAAAAACATTTTAGTCAACAACACTGCTTCATGGCCAAAGAAGATATCTAATAAATACTTGAAAATGAAATGGAAACTTAGCCTATTTCCTATCGTAATGCACATTCCTTGTCTTATTTTGTATAATTCATCAGTGCATGTTATTCTATTCAGCAATCAGGTATAGACGGACATCAGTCAAGTCACTACCTATCTTTTCATGTTAAATATCTTTATTCTTTATTATCTTTATTTCATTTAGAAATAGACCATATTATACAAATAAAATTGGTTGCAAGCAGTTTCTTGTTGACTTCAGTTATAAAGCAATATGTAGCTATGAAACTATGGCTCTATCCTGTATTTGTGTGTAATTTTGCTCTCTTTCTCTCAGTTCATGGATCTGTGCTGTCTCTGGCCTCAAATGCCTCATCCAACTATTCATCGGTGAGTAGAAACTGATGTAGCATGTTAAAATTCGGTTGGTTTCTGTATTTGAATGGTTTTTGTATATGACTGACAGTGAATAGAACACAGAATCTGCTACAGTCGGCTCTTTATTTCCTGAAATTTCTCTTAACAACCAGCCTTTTTTCTCTGTTTCGTGTCCTTGCTCGCTCTTTCTTGGTCTTTATCACCATTTCTGTATCATGCACTCTAAGACTGAAGAGAGAATGCAAGGAGAGGTAAGAATTTTCTCATGACAGCTTGTCAGCTTCTCTTTATCCTTTGCTTCCTCTTATATTCTGCTATTGCTCAAGAAAAAACAAAACATTCATATTCACTTTTGATAGCAACTCATTCTGCACGATAAATGACACCTAAACAACCAACTATAGTTATTTTTTATGTGACATCATTGCTACTCTAATTGCATTATAGTTAAATGTTAAACCAATTGCTGACCTGTGTTTTGAAAATACCTTGGATTTTTAATGTTTCTAACTCATTCTACCATCTCAGCAAATCCGGATACTGAGGCGTGAGCTGGAGTCATCTCACGATAAAGTGACCAGTCTGACCAACCAACTCTCAGCAAATGTACGTGCAAAACATCACTGCATATTCACAACTGCAGATTTAAAATTGTTATTTTATTGGTATTATTTTAGAGTGATGCATTTCATAATTTCACAATTCATAATTGCATATGATATATATTTATTAATGACATTTCATCATTTTATTTTGTTATTTTGATTGTTTTGATTTAATATTTGTTATTTAATTGTATATCATACAAATAGCATGTTTGTGTCATAGTAGCTTTAAGCAAACGTCTTCATACTTAAAAGTCCATAATATGTTGTCAGAGACACACACGGTCACGTCTATGCCTTCGCCAGCATTTCTACATTCTGACACTTTTCTCGACTTTTCAGTCATCATTGCTTGTTTCCCAGGATTATTAATTAAATAATGAGTGTTGCCATGTAAAGTTGATTATTGTAATTTACAATATTTCTAGTGTTTTAAATCCAGATCACTTCTCACTGCAAGTTCCCACTAACCCCAGCTGCCTTCAGCTCACCCTGCACTGATCTGCTGCTTCAACACAGCTGGCTTCAGCAATACACTCGCACACTGTGATGACTGTCGAGTCTGGATGGGATTAGATTTCCCAGAGGAGTTTGTGTGATTCGGACAGTATTAAAGGGCACCTATTATGTAAAATTCACTTTTGCATGTTGTTTGAAAAAAAATGTGTGTTGGCAGTGTGTGTACAGTACACAACCACCCTATAATGATAAAAATCCACCCGCTCCTTTTTTTCAATCCCCATAAATTATAAGCAGTGTCTCTGTTTGCAGAATCCGTAAAATGTGATGTCACATTTTACAGGCCCCGTCCACGGCTGTTCACGGACACTACCGTATTAGCAGTGAGCCACACACAATCCACCATGTTTATCTCCACACTAGAGCATTTAAAAGCAGCCTTCAAATAAGAAAAATGTCTTATTAAAGCTATAGAAGTTATTCAATCAAGAGCAGTGAGTGATTTTCTGCTTTTATTTTATTGTTTGGGTCATATTATCTGCATAGACGGCTGTATCTAATATAAACATACGATTTCTTTCCCAGCTGTTTATGTTCACAGACATAACCGACTGTGTTTTTGTAACTTATGTGTGTTTTTAACATAAACTTGTATGTATTTGACAGTTTAAGCGCAATAAGACATGAAAGAGAACTTAGTTTAGCACTCACATACCGTGTGACAGCCGCTTTCTGTGCCTGTGCTTCGGATGTGTGTGCTTAGAAAACACTATATCAGAAGTTTAAACTAATGCGGCTTTAAAACGCATGATTTCAGCATTATAGACATGATAATCAAAACCAAACAGATGTTTTTTGGCAGAGTATCTGAGACGAGCTGTAAAGGCACAGCCCTATTCTGAAAAAGGGGGCGGGGAGAACGAAAACAGTGTGTTTCTGCTTCCACTCAAAATAGGCATTTTCAGAATGATACTGTATAATAAATGATCTGTGGGGTGTTTTGAGCTGGAACCTCAGACACATTCTGGGGACACCTGAGACTTATATTACATCTTGTAAAAAGGAGCATAATAGGTGCACTTTAAAATCACTAATTCTATAAAACACAATTTTACCTAATCACCTCAGGGAAAAGTATTCCTGTCTGAGTAGGGATCTACAGTACAGTGTGTTTTATATGGGTGGAAACAAAAGTGCCCTCATAATCATCTCCAGAGGGGCTTTAATGAAACATTTTAATTTCTGATGCTGATCCCAGTGCATATATGAATGTGTGTGTGTGTGTGTGTGTGTATGGGATGGAGGGTTGTGGCCCTATAGTCCTAACAGCACTGTCCCTCTCTCCCTGGCTGATGCCCTGTCCCGGCCTCTGATGACTGACTGATGCCTGGGGTTGCTGGCTGTTGCAGGCAGGCCAGGTTTGTTGGACTGTCACTCGCAGCCCCGTCCGTCGCTGTTGCATGTGTCCCCCCGCCCTCAGTGTGGCGCTGACTGATGATGTGGAGTGGAAGTCATTTATGTTTGCTCTGTGGCTTTCAGGTGTCATCTGGCTGGGTGTTGATGATGTCATAGAGTTGATGTTGGGTGCTGTATGAGGGAGCCACAACTGCAAACACTGACATAGTTGTGAATGTGCACTAATTGAGGATTGCTTTTTTATCTGAACAAACCCTTAGCCCAAATTACTTAATTCTGTGTGTAACTTGTATCGCAAAATTTGTGCTATGCCCTGGAAACCACCCAAAACAACTTAGCAACTACCCAAAACATCCTTGAAACACTTGCAATCCCATAGCAACCACCCTAGCAACTCCTTAACAACCACCAAGAACACCCTACCAACCATGTAACAACAGCCATAGCAGCCAATCCGAACACCATAGGAACTGCAAAGGAACGTGATAAAAACACTTTAGCAAATGCATAGCAACACTACTGTATCAACTACTGAGAATACCTACGCAACACCCTAGCAACCACCCAAAGCCATTGAAATATCATAGCAACCACCTTAGTAACTACCTAGCAACCACCCAAACACATTTGAAACCACTTCGCAATCGCAAAGAAACCTGCTGGAATCATCCACAACATCCTAACAACCACTTAGCAACCACTGAGCTGGCAGTAAACACATAGCCCTAGTAACCACATAGCAATGCCTTGGCAACTATCCATAACACCCTAACAACCACTTAGAACACCCTAGAAACTCCATGGCAAATCCAATGTACTGATAAACACTGAGAACACCTTAGCAACCGCATATAAATGCCCTAGCAACCACTCAGAACACCCTAGCAGCTGCATAGTAATGGTATAAAAAACATTCAGAACACTTTAGCAAATGCATAGGAAAACACTAATGCACTAGAAACCACATTACAATGACCTGGCAACCATCCATCACACCCTAGCAAATGCATAACAAACCTTTAGCAACCATTTAGCAACATTCTGCAGCAACTGCCTAGCAACACACTAATAATCACTCTATAAAAACTTTAGCAACCACATAGAAACACCCTGACAAGCACTGAGAGCACACCTCTGGAAACCACCTAGCAACACACCAATAATCATTCAGAACACCTTAGCAACCACTGAGAACACACTTCTGGAAACCACCCAACAGATCACCTTAGCAACCACATAAAAAAACCCTGGCAACCACTGAGAAACAGGTACACCTTTGGCAACACACCAGTAACCACTTAGAACACCTTAGCAACCAAATAAAAACACCCTGGCAACCACCTAGCAACACTCAAATAACCACTCAGGACACCTTAGCAACCACATAGAAACACTCTGGCAACCACCCACAGCAGCCTAGCGTCACGGTGGCGTTTTTCTTCAGGGAATGTGTGTGTAGTTGCGTATGTGATGCACTAGCATGCTCTGCTGGAGTCACAGTCTCTACTGGTTTATTCCATCATCTCTCTTTCACACACACTCTCTCCAGTAGCGTGTGTGTCGTCACATGGCAACTTCATGGTTTTGTCCTTTCCAGCCTGCAGGTCGTCCTCTGTTCACCCTCTATTCATCCATCCATCCATCCATTTCCACAGCTGTTCTCGATTCCCGTCCTTTCCCGTCGCTCTTTCCCAGTCCAGATGGAGAAACACATGAGAGTGTGTGTGTGTGTGTGTGTGTGTGTGTGTGTGTGTGTGTAATGATCAGTAGTGTATGTCAGACACTAACCTGCACCTATCTATCCTGTGTCTGCAGGCTAACCTGGTGGCGGCGTTTGAGCAGAGTCTGGCCCTCATGACGGCGCGCCTGCAGAGTCTGTCAGTCACTTCTGAGCAGAAGGGTATATATATATACATGCATGCATACATACACACATTCACACACACACATATATATATATATATGTGTGTGTGTATACAGTATATTTACACATACATGTATAAATCAAATATATACAATTATTTAAAAAATGTAATTAATGTATAAATATAATAGAATTTAATGTATACAAAAATGTTTTCAACATGAATAATCATCAGAAATGTTTCATGAGCAAATCAGCATATCTGGATGATTTCTGAAGATCATGTGACACTGAAGACTGGAGTAATGCTGAAAATTCAGATTTGATCACAGCAATAAATTACATTTTACAAAATATTCAAATGCAAATCAGTTATTTTAAATTTCATTCTTCTGGCTTCTTTCAAAAACTGGTTATACGCAAATTGACTGTTATTAGAATTTTAAATACTAAACCGTTTAATCTGTGAAGTAATGTGAACACTGTAAGTTTGGTTTCTGTGTACTTTCATCAGTAGTAAGTCACAGGGATGCACAAAACACACGAATGGCACCATTTCATTAAAACTGACACCAAAAACAGCCAGAAAAAGGCACTTGTGTTAGGTTTTAACAATGAAGTTTCATGGTTTGTTTGTGAAGAGTTTTCTTTTCAACAGTGGAATCAGACATGTTCGTGTTTTAACATTTAACATTATCATTTCAGGATTCTGAGCTACAGGACATGAAGGAAACCATAGAAGTCCTAAAGGTCAAGAACACAGAAGCCCAGTCCATCATTCAAGGGGCCCTCAATGTCCCCGAAACCACACCCAAAGGTTTTTTTTTTAATATGTACATTTATTCCTTTTTGTGCATAAGGCTTTCTTCATGGTTTTTAGACTTTTTTTTAGACTTGATGGAAGTGCGTGCTAAATAAACACTGATTTCCCCCTCAGAGTTGCAGATCGACCGGCAGAACTCGTCAGAGAGCATCTCCAGTCTGAACAGCATCACCAGTCACTCCAGCGCCGGCAGCCTGAAGGAACAGGAGGCCAAGAAGAAGAAGAAGAAGAGCTGGGTGAGGATGGGAACAGTTTTAGATGGTTTAATCTTGGGTTCAGGCTGGTCCAGGCTGCTCGTTTAGCTGATCTAATATGTGTAATGTAGATGGTCTGTTTCAGTGTTGTGATTAAGTATGACTGTGATCTCTTCCCTACGCTTCCCTGCTCCCTATTTCACAGGTCTATGAGGTGAGCCCATCCACATCCATAACAATCACAGCATACTTGAAACTTCTGAAGAAACAATCAATATCTTCTTTGCCATTATATTATGTGGTCAAAAACTCAGTCAATAAGTCTCAGCAAATTAAAATTGTACAGTATAGTCTGAAATGGATGCTTTCAGGTTTAGAAGCTGATGCATTTCAAGGATGATTTTGTGTTTCATGCAATGCAATATACTGTACAATATATTAATAGACATATTGACTGAAAAATTAATGTAACACATGATGTTCCAGGTGTCCTAGTACTCTCCATCATTTCATGCATGCTTTAACTGTTTGATATGTGCTTTGTGATTAATACTGTCATAACTAATGCCTGAGATAAGCATTATATTATGAAACTTTACAGGGTGAGCACCATATTTAATTTAACGTGTTAATGAACTATTTTTGATACACTTATAGTATTTCTTCATTTTTGAATTAGCATTTGTTGTTATACTTTTCAGTTAATTTAATTTATAATTAATTTCTTATTTTATTTTATTTGAGTAATTTTGTTATGTGCCTTTCTCATTTTTATTAGTTGTTGGGGTTTTAATATTTCTATATAGCTTTAATTTATTATTATTTCAGTGTTATTTTTAGGGTTTTAATACTTCAGCTTATTCAGTTTCTTTCAGTTAACTGCCAAAGCAACATGTCCAATTTTATTTTAAGTTTAAATTTCATTTAATGTTTATATTTTATTTTATATTTCATATATTATCTATATATTATATATTATCATTCGTTACATTGTACTACCAATGCCAATTGAATGCTTTGCTTGAAAATTATGAAGCTTGTTGGATCATTTTAGCTACAATTCATTGTTAAGATGTGCCATCACAAACACATCAAATCATACTGTGTATGCCTCCACTGTGATTGTGTTTTGCTGTTTGCTGCCATTATGAATCCAAACCATCTATACTAACACTGTGAATTCATACTTGTTTGTAAGACTCTCAATATGAAGTAGTCTTTAGTTGAGCGTTGACCCTCATTTCTGCTCTACATATAGCTGAGGAGCTCCTTCAACAAGGCCTTCAGTAAAAAGGGATCCAAAGCACCATACGCAGATATAGAGGAGATCGCAACGCCGGTCACATCTGCCCCGTCTTCACCCAAAATCCAACATCATGTGGATAACGCCTCCGCAAAGGCCTCGACTTCAACATGGGGGTAGGAAATGCAATTGTTTATGTTCTTCACAAGATGATTTAAATTATTCAGCGTCCACCTTTCATGGTTGTATGTTTGATGTTGGTATTTACGGCAGATCGTGCGAGGGCCGTGAGGACACTGAGCACGAAGAGAAAGGGGTGTCAGAGTTACGCTCGGAACTGTGGGAGAAAGAGCGCAAGCTGACGGACATCCGTTTGGAGGCGCTGAGCTCCGCCCATCAGCTGGAGCAGCTGCAGGAGGCCATGACCAACATGCAGGTGTGTGTGTGTTTGAGAGACACTGTACAGGTGAATACAAATTCATGAGCGGGCTTATATTTGACTGTAAAACTGATTTCACGCCTCAGATTTTGATTGGTCGTCTACATGAGGGTTTTGTGAAATTGATTTTGGCTGCAAATAAAAATATGTAAAATTAAATTAACTAAATAATAATAATACATTTAAATTATAATGAATATATTAAAATGTATTATTATTGTTATTATTATTATATTGGTGTACTGGTTAGTTATGAATAATACAAAAAAAATAAATAATTGCAAGTGATATATTTAAATATATTATTATTATATTAATATGTACAATTTAATTAATAATAACAGTAATCAAAAAATTATTTCAAATTCTTCTGTATGTGTTTAAATTATTACTTTTGTTATTGTTATTATTTAGGTGTACTGGTTAGTTATTAATAATATAAATAATAATTTTAAACAATTGTAATTGTAATAAAATAAAATGTGCACAACTAAATTAATAATAACAATCATTTTAAATTATTTTAAATTATACAGTATATATTTAAATTTAAAATAATTATTATTTTTTATTGTTATATCGGTGTTATATAGGTGTTAGTTATTAACAATACAAATTATTTTAAATTTATTGTTATTGTATTATTGTTGTTGTTGTTGTTATCTAAATATGTATAATTTATTTAATACTTATCATTTTAAAATATTTAAAATTATATGATATATATGTATATATATATATATATATATATAAATTATTATTATTATTATTTAGGCACACTGGTTAATAATAATAATGAAATTGACATTAAATGTGTAATACTTGGGTTTCTTCATTTCTTCATTTAAATCCCTTAACAAATGCATTGACAGATGACGGTGGAAAACCTGAAGGCGGAGAATAACCAGCTGAAGACGAGTGGCCCCTCCTCCAGACCGCCGAGCTCCACCTCCCAGTCCTCTGGGCTCGGTTCATTGGGCGTCTCATCACCATGGCAATCGGTGTCGTCTTTCGGCAAAACCGGCATGGGACAAAATGAGCCTTACCCAGGTCACACATTTACACACAGAGATTTCATGCATAAAATGTGGAGTTCTCACATCCAAACGCTCTTGAATTCTACACTTTCTCACTGTGGTTTCTGTTCGTCTCTCACAGATGTCTTTCAAAGCCCCACCACGACGTTGCAGAAGGACGAAAGTCTCGTCAGAGTGTTGGTTCGCATACCCAATCAGCACCTATTCAAAGACGTGAGTGCTTTACACCACCATCTTCATCCTGATGAGTCAGCTGATCAAACGGATAGTTCTGATTCTAAACTCTGACTTGTATTATTTTTATTCAGTATATTATATATATTAGCCTATTTATAAATATTTTGAATTAGCTTTTATTTTTATGTTTTACATATATTACATTTACATATTATACTCCAACTTAAAATTATTTTATTTCAGTTACTCGTCAAGACTGTTTTTAAGTTTTTTTTTTTATGTAATATTTGTTTTATTTCAGCTATATTTAAGTTAACAAAAATATTATTAAATTATACCGTTTTATATTTTTTTATTTATATTGTTGTTTGTTATATTTGTAATATTTTAAAATAATCTTTAATAAAACAAAGAAAATATTACTTTTTAATAATAACTTTTTTATATTGAAAAATTAAAATGAATATTGAATGTAATTAAAAAAATAATAATTTGAATAATTAATTGTAATTTATATGTTGTTTCACAACTACAAAAAACCTGATCTACTTTACATTTTTAAAGCTCATTTGAAAGTGTCTCATTCATAGGAGGTGAAACAGCTGGAGTTTTTCATTGGCACGGTTAAAATCAGCGGACAGACTGAGTGGTTTTCTCTGGACTCTGTAGTTATCCAGGCTTTTAAAGTAAGTGCCCTCTGCAGTCTTCTGAGGGACAGAAACATCCACACATTTAGACACAAAATAAATCACACTTTGAGAATGTGCTGTCACCGTGCGTCTGTAGGAGTATTTAGCGGTGGTGGACCCCGGCTCCAGTCTCGGTCTCTCTCAGGACTCCATCTACAGCTACAGCCTAAGCCATGTGAAGAGGGTTCTGGGAGCGCAGCCGCACGAGACGAATCCTGTGCGCCTCTACAGCAAAGGCTCCTCCTGCATCAGCGTGATTTACATTTTTAGGTATAATATGGTTTGTCCTAGTTAAGTATTTATATAATGTATAATATCTATTCTACATCATATAAATACTATTATACCTAGAAATATATATCACAATTATGTAGTACTCCAACTTAAACTTATTTTATTTCAGTTACTCGTCAAGACTATATTTTTGTTTACGTTTTTACGTTTTTTTAATCTATTCTTTGTTTTATTTTATTTCAGCTAACAAAAACAATTATTATTAAATGTAACCATTTTATATATTTAATTTATATTGTTGTTTGTTGTATTTTTAAATAATGTTGAATAAAATAAAGAAAATATTAATATTTGTAATAATATTTAAGTAATACTTGTTTATATTTAAAAATTAAAATGAAATATTGAATGTAATTATTTATATAAATGTTGTTTTTACAACTATAAACAACCTTCTGATCTGCTGTAACTTTTGAAAATCAAATGTCTCATTGATAGGAGGTGAAACAGCTGGAGTTTTTAATTGGCACGGTTAAAATGAGCGGACGGACAGACTGGTTTGCTCTGGACTCTGCAGTTATCCAGGCTTTTAAAGTGAGTGCCGTCTGCAGTCTTCTGAGGGACAGAAACATCCACACATTTAGACCCGAAATCAAACGTCTGAAATGCTTTGAGAGTGTGTAAAGCTCTTCTCCTGTCACGGTGCGTCTGTAGGAGTATTTAGCGGTGGTGGACCCCGGCTCCAGTCTCGGTCTCTCTCAGGACTCCATCTACAGCTACAGCCTAAGCCATGTGAAGAGGGTTCTGGGAGCGCAGCCGCACGAGACGAATCCTGTGCGCCTCTACAGCAAAGGCTCCTCCTGCATCAGCGTGACTCTGAAAGGTCAGTGTGTTGAGGCTGCTGGATAACAGTGGAACCGTACATGAACATGTCCAACTCCAATCTTGTACTGTAGGTATGAGTCACCTCAAGCCATACACTTAATACTGTTTAATGAACACAACTGAAATGTGAACATGTCGTTATATATAAATATAATATTTATTTTATTTTTAGTCATTTTAGTACTTCAAATAAAACTATTATTATTATTATTATTATTAGATGCACTGGTTAATGCTACTACTACTACTACTAATAATATTACTTTTACATATTTTATATTATTATTTTTTATTTATTATTATATTATTTTTATTTCTATATTTTACATGAAATTAATGCTTAATTGTGGACAATATTATGCTTTATTTCCCGCATCTGAAATTCCTTCCTTTTGCAGTTACAATTTCTAACAGCGCTCAAACACTTTCAAGTTGTTTTACTGACCGTAAGCTAGTAAATGCTCTGACACAACTTTTCAGTATTTTTCCATATAAACTGTAAGCCATTATTTTCAGATTTCCATCTTCAATAACCGTCAACAAACAATGCTAACACCCACAGGCAGCGCTGCAGTGTGATTGAGGTATTTTCATAACTCAAATCCCCAGAGAAGAGCAATATAGCGCTAATGTTTCTGACTGTAACGGCAGCCAGCAGGAGGTGTGATTAAACAGCAGATCCACAATCCCATCATTCCTGAGCTCTCAGTCTGATATATGACCCAGGGAATCGGGGCCGTTACCCAGACTCCTCTGGGCTTGGTCTAGGTGTTATTTTAAGCACAGGCTGCAATTCAGAGCTGTTTATTGAGGTGGTGTGATGCTATAGACCACCCAGACTAAAGAAAAAACACTAATTTGCCTATTCTCTCTCTCAAAGAAGAAGAAAATGTGTGTTCCCTCTATTCTGGGTGCAATTTCTTCCTGTACTGCATTTAAAAAATACTTTACATACACTCTTAAGATTTAAAAAATAGCCTACATATCTTTAATCAGAAGCATTAAAACATGTCTTACAGATTAATAGTTACATTAGTCATGGTTACATTATCATTATCAGTCTGAATAGGGTGATATTATAAGCATATAATGCAATGGTGTATTTTTTCCCATTGATACTGTACATTTAACTATTATTTCTATTGCACATTATATTGTTTTGATGCTTGATGTCACTTGTGAAATTGAAAACAGCATGCAAAATTTTTGATTGATCAAGAATCAAGCAAAAAATATAATTATGATAATCAACATAGCAGCTATAATAATAAAAAAGTGGTTATTTGTTTGAGCCAAAGGGTTCCTTGATTTTTACAGTGGATAAAATTGTATTTATATTTATATACATTGTGGTTATTTCTAATATAGATTTAATAATATAAATTTAAGCATAAAAATTATATCTTTAAAGCTTGTTAATATTCCTACACACACACATATATATATATATAGGGGTTATTCTACTACTGTATATTAAAAAGTCACAATAAACCTAGCTTACTATTGAAACTCAGCAAAGTGCTTGTAAATGTCAGTCATTTGTTGCTTTGGATAAAAGCATCTATAAGACTAGTTAATGTAAATGTATTGTAAAACATGTTATCTGTATTGTACTGTTCCCCTGAATGCAGGACTGAAGGAGAAGTGTGTGGACGTTCTGGTGTTTGAGTCGCTCATCCCCAAGCCCATGATGCAGCATTACATCAGTCTGCTGCTCAAGCACCGGCGCTTGATCTTATCGGGCCCCAGCGGCACAGGGAAGACCTACCTCACCAACCGCCTTGCCGAGTACCTGGTGGAGCGCAGCGCTCGAGAGGTTACACCCGCCATCACCACCACCTTCAACATGCACCGCCAGTCCTGCAAGGTACACAGACAAGATATTCACATTCAGAGATCTTATTTTTATTAGATTAGAACACAACTTGAACTGAATTGAGCTGGATAACGGCTCTTTGATCTTCTGTAGAGCTTTTTTACAGCTGAAATTGAAGTCATTTTACAACTGATGAACTTTGATGACACTGTTATTGAACTAAATTGAATCAACATTGAACTAAATTGAGCTGAATAATGAAAAGCTTTATATTTCAGATAAATGCTGTTCTTTTGAACTGTCTGTTTATTGTAGAATCCTGAAAAAAGTTTTCAGCATCAATAATAATCACAAATGTTTCTTAAGCAACAAATTAGCATATTAGAAGGATCATGTGACACTTAAGACTGCAGTAATGATGCTGAAAATTCAGTGTTGCGTCACAGGAATAAATTACAATTAAAAATATATTCAAATGCAAAACAGTTATTTGAACTTGTAAAAAATATTTCACAATGTTACTGTTTTTGCTGTATTTTGGATAAAATAAATGCAGGCTTGGTGAGCAGATATCATTTATAATTATATTAAAAACAAATATTAATATATTTTGTAATATACATAAATAACAAAACACTTAAACCATAATGAACCCCTGTCTTGCTCTTGAAGCTTGCCATTGTGAGTAGTGAGACTTACAGTATGATTCAAATTATATCTGAATCAAATTTGTTTCATAATTGATAAACTTTGCAAAATTGACAGTGTTATTGAACTAAATTAAATTAACACTGAACTGAATTGAGCTGCAAAATCACACTGTTGTCTTCTGTAGAGCTGAATATTGTGCCAATTTCTATTATTAGAAGACATTATTATAAAGGTTATTATAAAGATAGATTATTATAAAGATATCATTTTTTAAATGAGCAATACACAATTGTCATAAATGAATTGTTAAATGAATTATGACACTGTTGTCTTCTGTACAGCTAATTTACAGCTGAAATTTATTTTATTTATTTTTTTTGCAATTAATAATTTTGTATTTTGCAAAATTGCCACTGTTATTTTCTTGTTTGTTACTGTGAATCTGCTTTAAAACAGTGTTGCATAAAGTGCTATATAAATAAATGTGATTCGACTTGACCTGACGTAACCTCTGACTGTTTTTGTCTTTTTATCCCAACAGGACCTTCAGCTCTATCTGGCCAATCTGGCCAATCAGACCGATCGGGAGAGCAGCACAGCTGAGATCCCGCTGGTTGTCATCTTGGATGATGTGCATGATGCAACATCTCTCAGTGAACTTGTTAATGGTGCTTTAACCTGTAAATATCATAAATGGTGAGTCTAGGAAAGTCTACACCAAAAATGACAAGTGGGTTTCCCAGTCATCTTAAAGGTGTCAAGAGCTGTTTTGTTTCTCTTTCTCAGTCCATATATAATAGGGACAACCAATCAGCCAGTGAAGATGACCCCTAACCATGGCCTACACCTCAGCTTCAGGTTGGTCAGTGCTAACATACACAAGGTCCTTTTAGCTTCCTGTCGAGTGTCAGTGAGGAACAGCTGGGACGTGTTGCCCCTCCTGCTTTTGTTTTCATTGTCGTTTTGGGTGACACTAACATGTGCTTGCCTTTTCACTCCCTATATACTGCAAAAGGATGCCTAATTTTCATATTTTATAGTGTTCAAATTTACTGTATGGCCTAACTCACATTTTCAACAAATGACAAACCACAATTCTAAGCACAGAAGTGCTAGTTTTCGCTCGTCTCTTTTTTCAAACATAAAATATAACAAATATAAAATAATGTCACTATAAATAAAAGTAACATGTCCATTTGGTCATTTATTTGACAAGTAATCATGATAAGCAGGGTAATATACAGTCAGCTGGTCATTATTGCAAAAAAAAAAAAAAAAGCTCTTCAGGATAATATAAGACCTTCATCAATGTGTTTGGGGTTTATTTTTACACAATGACTGGCTGACTGTACATTAACTTTTATATTTTTACACACATTTATGATATAATAGGTTTTAATGTTAGCGAAAGAGATATACACAGATTTGCTGAAATTAATATTGTTTGTGAAATATTTACTCAAACAATTTAAATGTAGTTTATTCCTGTGATCAAATCATTATCAGTCTTCAGTGTCACATGATCCTTCAGAAATTATTCTAATATGCTGATTTGTTGCTTAAGAAGCGTTTCTTCTTTTTGTTGAAAACAGTTGCTCTTTACTGTTTTTGTGGACATCTCGGTTTTTCAGGATTTTGTGATGAATAGAAAGTACAACAGAACAGCATTTACTTACAATAGAATTTTTGGGCACATTATAAATGCCTTTACTCTCACTTTTGATTAATTTAATGCATCCTTGCTGGATAAAACTATTAATTAAAAAAATATATAAAAATACTGACCCCTTTTTGAATGGTCCTCTATTTATCAGTTTTCATATTTGTTTTACATGTTTCCTCTATACAGGATGGTGATGTTTTCCAATAACGTCGAACCAGCAAACGGATTCCTGGTACGTTACCTGCACAGAAAGCTAATGGAGGCTGAAGATCCCAGGAGCGTGAAGAATGAAGATCTGCTGCGGGTGCTGGACTGGGTGCCCAGACTCTGGTACCACCTTCACACCTTCCTGGAGAAACACAGCACCTCTGATTTCCTCATTGGTAATTTTCATTTTTACATCGGCACCATATTGGATAAGAATGAGGAGGCATTTTTTTAAATAACAAGCTTGATGTGCCTAATTCAGGGAGTATTTCATCTATGTGTGTCCAATCTGTGTTGCCGTAGGTCCCTGCTTCTTCTTGTCCTGTCCAGTAACTGTAGAGGAATTCCGCACGTGGTTTATCGATCTTTGGAATCACTCAATCATCCCGTACCTGCAGGAAGGAGCCAAAGATGGCATTAAGGTGGGTCAAAGTATCCCAAACTTGAAGATAAATTTAACCTGTCGGTCAGAATGCCGCTTCCTAACTGTTCAAGTGAGCAGTTTTTGGTTGAATCAGTGTAAATATGTGTGTCTGCAGGTTCACGGGCAGAAGTCGGTGTGGGAGGATCCGGTGGAGTGGGTCAGAGGATCTCTGCCCTGGCCGTCTGCTCAGCAAGACCAGGCCAAACTCTTCCACCTGCCTCCCCCGAGCACAGGCCCCGGCAGCCCCAGCCAGCCAGGAGACGATCGGCCACATAAAGAGACGCCGCCCAGCTCCGTCGAGTCAGATCCACTGGTCAGTGTGTGGATTAGGGCTGTCAGCATTAATAAAAGAATTTATTTAAATCTATACATTTTCTGTATATATACATTATATATTAATCGTGATTAATCGCATCCAAAAGAAAAGTTTTTGTTTACATAATATATGTGTGTGTACTGTGTATATTTATTGTGCATATATATAAAAACACATACAGCATATATTTTGAAAATATTTACATGTATATTCATGTATATATTTATATTCATATAAATGATATCATATATAAATATATGCATTATAATTCAAGACAGAAAAAAACACTAAGCAGTCTAATTTTGTCACGAATAGGCTGGGATTTATGAGTTATTCGTACAGGCTTAAAGCTAATTAACCTACATAAATCACAAAGACGTTGCCAATATTACATGACGTCTAAACCACTTTTCTTGACACACATTTACACACTTTCAACTTTTTTTTGAGCATGGTTTAAACTTCTTAAAGTTTATTCATAAACAGTGGTTTTAAATGCTTTTATGATTACATGTTATACAGCTGGCCTGTTTTTAATAACTAAAAAGAAAATTATGTATTTTAAGTAGTGCTGTCAATACAGCATATATTTTGAAAATATTTACATGTATATATTTATATTCATATAAATGATATCATATATAAATATATTTAATATATAAACGGAACATATTTTTCTTAAATATATACATGCATGGCATGTGTGTATAAATATATACACAGTATATAATAAATATACACAGTACACATATATTATTTAAACAAAGACTTTTATTTTGGATGCGATTAATCGCGATTAATCATTTGACAGCACTAACATATATATATATATATATATATATATATATATATATATTATACACTACTATAAATTACATA